AAAAAAAAAAAAAAAAAAAAAAAAAAAAAAAAAAAAAGCTGTAAAACAAAGCGAAAAAAAAATAAAATTAAAATAATCTGTAAAAGAATAAGCATAAGACTGCTGCTATCTACACTTATATGCACAAAGCGTGACCGTGTAAGTATATGACACAAATGAATAAAATATATATGTACCTTTTCGCAAAAGAATCATGTGTAGACCTATCTGCGAAAAAAACATCAACTTCTTTTCTTTTATGCCTTCGGATTATGAACAAAGGATAAATCTCGCCTTGCAAAAATTTGCATAATGCTAATTTTGCAGCTCCCACTCCTGCATATATAAACATAAAACATACTGTACGCATATGCATATAAAGCTGTGCCTACATTTTTTTTTTGGCTGGAGGTTCAGCCCCAACAGATGTAAATATGTTAATAATGACTAATATATTTTGACCTATACAAAATATTTATTTTTTGTACCTATATTGATAATTTGAGGTACAATGTTGTTGCTGCGCTCCTACAGCTCAGATATATGCACGCATATAGATGCAACAAAGCTACTTCTGTTATTGGTACACTTGTACTCATATATAGTTATATATATTATAGCGAAGCTGACCCTGCGATTTGAGGCGAGAAAAAAATATTCGGTGCCTATGTGCACAGACCCGCGCGAGGTTCACGTCGAGCCGCAGCTTCACCATTCGCAGGGCATCTCGACGGTTCTAGGGCTAGAAGCGTAGTATTTATGAGGACCCACGTATAATTTTGTCACTTATTTATATAGGTTTGTATATACATGTATACATATTCATATATATACATATTTATTATAAATATGCCCCCCATTTTTTTGTAACTATTTTTTTTCTCGCCTTGGCGCACAAACTAAAAGCGTTCACCGCACCCGCAATAAAAACAAAAATTTTGTAATGTGGTAGAATTGCCAAGAAAGAAAAGGAAAAAGTCGCACAGCTGCTTTAATTGCATGTATTGACTTATTACATCTTCTATGGTAGTGTGGTAACGCAGTAGTGCATATAATATGCCCTATGCCTTTAAGTACAACATACTCTATGCATTATAATACATATTTTATGTAAAACTGTACCCATTAATGCGAGCATGACAATTATGCTAATATATATATAAACACATAATTAAAAATAGGCCCATTAATTATATATTTTTGTTCTGTTTTATTTTATGTACGGGGTTTTTTAAACCATCGGTTATAAAAAAAATCCTGCGCTTAATGTGGGTATGTTATTATGTACATCTACTTAATTTGCATCTAACTATTATATAAACCCGTTTCGCAGCCAACTGTTTTTTTTTTTTTTTTTTTTTATTCATCCCTTGACCATAAAAAAAAAAAAACAAAACAAAAAGATAGTAATATATATATAGTATAAGCTAGTTAGTTCCTTCTTCAATCCCCTTCATTCTGCGATTTTATAAAATTATAAAAAGAAGTAACTCATATATAATTGTATATGTATATATATTTATATTTATATATATATTTATATATTATTATATTTTTTTATATATATACATATAAACTTACCGTCGTTAGAGTTCGATTTGTACATTTGATTTGTTTGTTCATATTAATTTTTTTTTTTTTTTTTTTCCTCTTTTTTATAATTTTGTAAAGAAAAAAATCACAGAATATTATATGCACATAGCTGTACAGCGGCTTGTGCATATACATAAGAGCATAACGCATAATGCCATGTACGTGATATATGCTTCTTGACCGTTCACGTATGTGTTACATACGGTTGGTACGTGGTAATGCGTAGTATGTATATATATATGCTCATGTGCGAAGGCGTGGCCGTGTACTGCATCACCCCTTAGAGTTACATTCGAGCAACAGCCGCGAGCTCCTTTATAGCCCCGTTATCGCCGTCCTTTGCGCCATGTTAAAGAACATGGCTCCTTCACACAGCAGTGTTTGCCTGTGCCCACGTAGCCGCCACCTCCATATGTGCGTTTTTAAATGCACCAGTAGAGAGTCCGTGCGCACGGCGAACGCGTGATGTGTGAAAAAGCCCATACATGCACACAGCAGTCATTGCGCAATGTTTACCTAAGTACCTCTTATGTGGAGCCATATCCCAGATTTACACCTATATGTAATTTCGCACATGTAAACTTAATTTTGTAAACTACATATAATAATGCATAGGTATTGGAAAATATACGCTTAGGTGAGAGAGGAGAGAAGACTTAAGACACTCTCTTCATGCAACCATCATGCCTGCGTTGTGAATTCCACGATTCATTCATGTAATAATCCTGCTGTACATATGCGCCACGGTTTTTTATTTATTTACCTTTTCTCGCGTTGAGACTTGCGTGTGTTTATATCGTACGAATGTGTGTCCGTAGTAAAACCGCAGTGTGTATACGCATCGTCGCGTGTGTATATGCATATGTGTATTTATGTATATAGTTATGCTCACTATGCTTTACTGCTGTGGGGAAACCTTCTTATGCATACCCCTTTTCAGACGCATGGTGACACATATACACGTCGCATGAAAGAACACACACCCACGGTGTACCGTTCTAAGTAGTTTCCATATGTTTTGTGTTCCGCCCCCCGAAGTTCTTAGTGTATTCACTTATTATTATTTTTTTTTTTTTTCATTTATCTGCTGTAGAAGCAACGAATTGTGCAGTATCTGCGCTAACCGAATTTGTGTACTTATTGAAAAATTAACCTCCTTCATTATACACTCAAATTAGGTTTTATTAATATTTTAATTTTATTTAACCCCTTTTAATGTAGACACCTCCCCCCCCCCTTCCCTTCTCATGAAGGTTATTTAAATCTTGCCCATTTGTCTGTACTTGTTTTTCTTACCTTATGTGAAACGGTGGATCCGTCGCGTCACATTCCGTTTTAATTAGCCAATACCTTGTAATCCCGTTCATGCGCAGACGTATGTGCAATTGTACATGCGTATGTGGAATATAACCTCGAACCCGAGCGCCTATGTGTTGTAGCGTTTAGTAACCATTGTCTCCTTCCACATGAGCAAAGGAGCTCAGCCTTGAACGCGGAAAAAGGGTTTGAATTTATTGAGTTTTTCCCCCTTTTTATAAATGCACCAACACCTAAGCACCTCTAATACACAACACCTAAGTTTTTATATTCCTCATTTTTTTTTTTTTTTTTTTTAATTTATTATTTTTTTTTTTTCTCGCCTTTGAAAATCCTGAGGACATAAATGGGATTTACATCTTGTTGTATACCTACGTGACAAGTGTTTTTCCCGATTTATGTATGCCTTTGTGCATGCATAAAAGGGACACACATAATTAGTTGCTTTTGTACCCCTAGGTTTTTACCTACGTGTTTATGCGTTCCAACACAGCGAGGTGTATTCTACTTATACGTTGATCACATTGTGTCGTTTTTGAATTGTAATAACTGCTACTTGGTATTGCGCTCTGTAGGAGTACCTCCCGTTGTAGAAGGACGACAATAACGTCTAACGTTTTTTTTATTAATTTGTCCGCAGGCATACGTGTATCGTGCTGTTTGTATGTAATTATATATATATATATATATAATAATCGGCCTTTCAAAGACAAAGGGAACTCATTTTGCAGTTGCTGCAACGCGGAACACAAGACAGCGCACTAGTATATTAAGTGGCGGAGAGAACCAACACACAGCACTTGCATTGTTAAGTCAAACGTACAGTTACATCCGTTCATGTTGGAACGTACTTGTTCAATCTCCACAAACACTAATAATGCACATTGCAGTGACATTCCGATCCGTTCCGTGTTGTCTCAAATAAATGAATGAAAAAAGAAAAAAGAAAAAAAAAAAAAAAAAAAAAAGTCAAGACCAAAACATAAATTAATCCCTCATCCGAAGAAAAAATGTTCAAAGGAAGTAGCAACACAATGAACGTGCACTCATTTTATGGGAACCCAAATGAGAAAGACTTGAGTGACCATCACCCCAAGGGTGTCAACAACGTTTTCTGTAACAACATCATTTCGAGGCAAGAATTTAATAGGGACTTTTTGCGCAGTAGAAACTTTTTGGAAGAACAAAATGTGAACGGGGGTTCCAGTGGCCTTTCGAAGGTCGCCAGTGCAAACAATGGCATGGTGTATGTGAATAACCATGGGGAGTTACTCCACCTGGACTACAATGGGCACGCCGCCCACAGGGGCATCAAGGGGCCGCGGTACGGCGGGCGTGTGGGCAGTCACGCCAACGGCCATGCTGGCGGCCATGCTGGTGGTCAATTTAGCAGACCCACCTTGAACGGAAGCAACGTCTTTAAGAAGATGCCCAGCGGCCAACCTGAATACATACACGCAGACCTCTTTGGAGACAAAACCAACATACACCACAGCCCAAGTCTGAGCAACGCATGCGGCATCAACAACCCACCTAATAACCAATGCAACGTTAGTGCAAACGAAATAATGAGCAAGAGATTATTTATTAATAACCTCATTGAAATAAAGGAAAAATTGAACAACATTAAAAGAGAGAGGATGGAATATGAAAAGGACGACGAAGCCAAGGAAGAGGAGGAGCATGATAACTACATGGTCCATTTAAAAAATTACGAAAAAATAAAAAACTCTTATTCGATGTCAAATGTAAATAAGGTGCAGGAGAAAATTATGAACAAAATGAAATCCCAGGAGGAAAAAAAAAATATATCATACAATAACTTTTTTGAGGATGCTGCAGTGGATGTGGACCACCCTAGCGGTCGCCCCAGCCACCCATCACAGCAGAAGCAGCCACATAAGCACCAGCAGTATGCCAAGTTTGAAAAAAGGAAAAGCGTCGAGCAGAGGCATGAAGAGAGCACTTACGTCTTTTACGACTTGAAGCAGTATTTAGGGGAGAACCACCGGCCCAAGAAGAGCTACTTTCCTGTCCATGCCAGTTGTGAGAAGAAGCAGGGTGAGCGATTATGTGATCGGCTCGGAGAGCAACTGAATGATCCTGTCCAGGATAGGAAGTACGATAGCTACTTTGACCGCAAGTACAACAATTTGAATGAACACCATTTAGAAGACTTCTTCTTGCGGACAGAGGACAAGGAAGGGGAGCAAAAGGAAAAACAAAGTAAGTATGAACAGCTTCAGAAAATGGAGAGAGCAGTCATTTCACCTCACGATCATATGGTGACGATGATGTTGGAACAGGAAGGGTTGCACAACGTTATGCAAAAACATTCAAGCACTTCAAAACCAATGTATACACACAATTTGAAAGGCCTTAAGGTGGTTGACAATGTTATGTGCTGTCTACCTGCAGAAGATGTTAATGTTAAGGGAAAGAAAAACATACCAACGATGATGTACTTAGGGATGCCTTCTTCCTCTTCCCCAGGAGTAGGTGGTGCCATTGGGGCGGGGAACCCATGTGGCAATGTGTTCCACGATGCGAACGTGTATGACGGTCCAACCAGTTTATATCTTAGCAAAGGACTAAGGGATGAAGATAATTTGAAAAAAATGCTAAGCGCCACCACGAAGAAGGTTTTAAATTATGAGCAGGACTATGTATTCCCGTCATCCGACAGGCATGAGCTATACAAAAGTAAAAACAACGCAGGATGTGCTGGTTGTATTGAACACGGAACAGGGACACAGATGGGAACAACATCTACGCCATTAAGAAATGAAAATCAAAGTTACGTGGGAAAAAATTGCAGCTCTGTTAATTATGCGAAGAAGAAAGGAGGCGTCGCCGCTTCCACATCCCCTGCCGCTGGAGCAGTAGTGGGATGGAGCAATTCAGGAGATCACCTAAAAAAGGTGGCAGGCATGAACGAAAAAAATGGCAAGATGGTTGAACAAGTCAAGGGAAGTGGAGCGGGAGGCAACCCAGACCTGCGTGTGCAAAATCATAAAAGTGAAAAAAACGTAGGAAAGAAAAATAGTGCAGGATCCATGAGCAACAATATCAACGTGAACGTCTCCGATACAGACATTAATGGAAATAAAAACTCCAGCGAGAAGAAAAACTCGTATGACAATAACAACGGAGGAGTGATCAACGGCACAAACAACAATAATGGAAACAACGTAGACAACACGGTGGCATATTTTAAAGAAAATTGTTTAAGCAATGAAAATGTGGTGTATGATGAGGAGAAAAAAATCTTCAAAACAAAGGAAAATTGTAATATTAAAATATATAGGAGAAGCTTAGAAAAGGAAAAAATGCTCAACTTTCCTCTAATCCATTTGGGGGAAAATGACGTTATTGTGAAGAGAATAAAATTATATTACCCCTTAAGGAATGAAAATATATTTACAAATATTTCAAAAATTATTTTCATGACCAGCACAAATATCTGCTCGTTATACCTTAGTGACTCGTATCTTATTCATTATGACGATGTGAAAATTCAGTCCTACCTTTCTAAGGGAGGCTTTGGAGTTGTTTACAAGGGCATCCTTTTGAGGAAAGTTCAAAAGGGTGAACTGATGTATGGCGCAAGTGGCAAGTACAGCAGGGAATTGTCAAATCAGCAGAGCTTCCAGGGGCTAGACGCAGTTAACGGTGTTAATGGTAACGTTGGAGGGAGAACAGACGGCAGGAGGACCACACATAGAGAGTTGCATGAAGAGGAGGAGGAGGAAGAAGACAACGATGATAATGATCATAATGACCACCACGATGTGCATGAGGCAGAGTATGGACAGGCACAACAATTGGAAGGACCGCCAAATGTGCTTCATGCCGGGGCTGAGGACAACAACGTAGATGGAGGAAATCACGACGGTTCTAGCAACTATGCAGATAATAGCAATGTGCAGGATGGAGCAGAGTCGAAGGGGAACTCAGGCCACGGCAGTGGACCAAAGGGAAGCAGCCCAAACAAACAGTTTCCCATGAAGAAGAAAAAAAGCCACAATAGCGATAGTAGCAAACTTAGCAGAAGCACAAAAAAATTGTGTAATCTGAGAAACCAATTGATTGAAAAAATATTTGACAATTTCAACAACCCCATCAACCCTAACAGTGCTGCAACTGTTAGCGGCAATGGCATGAATGGTGAGTACCCCGTTAGAGGAGCAGAAACTGAAAAGGCGCACGAGAAACGACCAGCCGAGGAACAGAACGAAGGAGAAGAAGAGGATAACGAAATGGAAGAAAAGAACAAACAAAAAAAAAATACTTGTTCCATTGAGAATATACTAAAAAGTTGGGACAACACCCATGAGCAGCAAAAAAATAAAGCAATCAACCTCGAGGATTATAACGTCAACAAAGAGACTGAAGGCATTTTCCTCACCAAGGGCCACAAGTCGCGCAGCGCCAATGTGCACCAAGGGGAAGGTGCGGAAGATGATATAGCAGGATCAGATGCTGAGGATGGATTAGAGGAGGAGAATAACCCAGCACAAAAGCAAAGAGAGGATGAGGAAGCAGCCGAAAATGTGGACATGAAAAAAGGAGCCAATTGTATACACGTACAAGAAATAAGAAAATTAAAAAAAAAAATGCTCCACTTTATTTATTCCAAAAAAACAAGTGACAAAATAATAATTGACAGAGATGAATTTTTTACCGAAGCCAAAAAAATTATTTATAAATTAAAAATGATGAACAACACGGAACTGGAAAAAAAATACCATGAAGAAATTCTAGCCTACCTGTTGCTAGACGTGTATCATAATAACATGGCATACAAAAACAACCTCTCCTTCCTCTACGTTAAAGGAAAAAATATAATAACCTACGGAGTCAATAAGGAAAGCCTTTACATATTTGACAATAAAAATATTTTCCATTACTACAGTGATAAGTGCATATTCAAAATTGTCTTCATCGACGAGCACAAGGAATTGAAGAAGTACCAGAGCCTCACCGTCTTCAATGTGCTAAATAATGAAAGGATGATGAAAAGCTCTTCCATACTCAAGTACGAAATTAATAAACATAAGAATGGCTTGAATAAGTTAGCCATTATTCCCTTTAGCAAGATGAATATGAGTCACCTTCTAAATGCTCTAATATTTGGCTTTCTAAAATTCCTTTTCAATTTGAGAAAGAAATATCACAAGCAGCCAAATAATTGCTCCTGCTACCCGAATGCGGAAGAAATGCAGAACAACCCCAACGCCAACTCTTCGAACAAAGCCATGGAAACAGAACAAGGGAACCAAAATAATAGCATAAATAATAATACCTTTTTCTCAAGCCTAAAGTATAGCACTTCGGATGTCTGTGGTGGTAGTCCTCTTAATTTTAATAAAGATGATAAAGACTCCATCCTCTTGCAGGAAAAAATTAATATGCTCGATGAGTTCCTCTGTTGCAACTATGAAGAAGTCAGCGCCGACTATGCAGGAGGGAAAGGGAAAATGATGGGTAAGGGTAGCGGGAATAACGACAGGAGTGAAGAGACGGAGAATAATAACGGAGCTGGTAGTGGTGGTGGAAGTGGCGGAACTGCTCATGGTAGCAGCAGACGCAGCAATAACGTGCAGAGGGAGGAGGCAGATAAAATGGGAACCACAAACAAGGCCAACATGCATCTGACCAATAACGGCCCGGGAAGCAGCACCGTGCTCAACACCAACAATACAGACGAGTCTAAAACTACCATGTTGATGAATGTGTCGAGGAACAAAAACGCTTTTAAGGAGTATGGAAATGAGCGCGAGTACAACTACGGTCCGAAGATGACCAACCGGGAGGTGGAACAGCAGCATCTGGAGGATGAAGGCCCAGAGAACAGCGATAAGGAGGACGTGGAAGAACGCGGCAAAGAGCGAGAAAGGGGAGAGGTAGAGGACGAAGAAGAGGAAGATGGGGTAGACGATGCAGAAAGAGCTTTTCACTCACCCCCCGCTCGTGCCGGACGGAACGGAAAAGGTACAGGAGAAAAGGGATTACCTGAGGTGAAAAATGTAACCAGCATGAAGGCGGTAAAAGGGGCAAAAAGTACGGTAGATGGTAACGGGGTTAAAAATGCCAAAGTCACATCAACATCCGTGGAAGGAAAAAACATGTTGAAAATGAAATCAGGGGCAGACGCAAAAGGCGTGAAAAATGTTACTGCAGACGTGAAGGAAGAAACGCCTGAGGGAAAAAGTATAATGAACGAATCATCAAAAGGACCAGAGGAAGAAACTTTCGAAGAGAGCGAAGAAGTCGTACAGGTGAAAATCCCAGTGGCTATAAAAATACACGACCTCAAAGATAGCAAAAATTTAAAAAACTTTTTAAGAGAAATCGAAATATATAAAAATATTCAACGTCCAAATATTTGTACCTTCTATGGAATATGTATCAGATCCAATAAATTAATGTTGCTCTTGGAATATTACCCTAAGGGTAATTTATTTAATTTTTTAAAGAATAAAAATAAAATTCACAAGAAACAAAGACTAGCATGGGCATCAGAAATGTGTCACATTGTACATGGCTTCCATACACATAACCCTCCTGTAATTAATGGAGATATAAAAACTTCAAATGTCTTAATTGATAATAATATGCACTTAGTTATGTGTGATTTTGGAAAAGCTCGATTTAAAAATTCAAAGCTGTATAGTAATTTTGGCTCCTACAGATATATGGCCCCTGAAACTTTTAGCTGCACATCGGAAGTGACTGAAAAAATTGACATTTGGAGCTTGGCATGCTGCATCGTGGAAATATTTTCGAGCAAATACCCATACCATAATTTGTCCAAGAATGTAAAGATCCGACATGAGCTGCTGGTTAATAAAAAGACCCCACACATTCCTAACTTTTTACCCAACTCGATGAAGAAGTGCCTGCAGAGATGCTTCAGCTTCACCCCGGAAGAGAGACCCTGCGCGTATGAGATGTACAAGTGTTTGAAGAAAATCAAGGTCGTTGAGTGATGACGCACCACTCGTGAAGAGGGCACGTATCACATGTTGTGCGCGTATTACAAACCGTTTCCTGATTTACTCCTTTTGTCCATACGACGCGAAAGCGCAATAGGGGGGAAAAGAAAAAAAATGTAAAAACACTACAATACGCATATAACTGTGTTGAAAGGCTACCAACTGTGGTTTACTCAGAGCGATTCATTCGAGCGCATGTTGGCATGGTCAGTATACTATATCCGATTCAGTTACCTACACATACACACACCGAACGCATTAGCGGAGCAAGCCGTCCTTTTCTTAATACTTATATTTGTGCCCCTTTTTGTTGAGGGTGTGGTGCCGTGTTTAGACTGCGCGCCCTTTTGTGCCTTAATTAAATTTACAAGTTTTTTTCTGCGATCCGCGCGTTGCCCACCCAACACCGCGCAAGCCCACAAAAGCATATAATTAACATAAATCATGAGCATCGTTATGTACATATAACACAATACACAATATACATGTATGTATGAACATGCATACGTACGTGCCAAAAATATAGTACGCACTTTTGCACCCTGTCCGGCTCAACTTTTTTCAACCATATGCGTATTTTTTATCCCCCCTCCATACACAAACGTGTGCACATGTTTTAAGCACCCATGTGAAATGAAGCGGGGGTGCGAGTATGTAAATTTTTTCGTCTTGTGTATTCTTTTAATTTTTTTTAAAGAGACGCACAAATTATATATTAAAACTTTTTTTTTTTTTTTTTTTAATTAACCTGTTGTTTACTTTGTTGGAATCGCACAGCGAGCGGGTCTAAAACGAACTCGCCCATCCACACGCGCATCATTTTTAATGATTCCCCCCAAATGGAAAGGATGTATGAACGACATCTTACCCGATCCACGCTGTTGGCATAAAATTTAGCGAACCATATTCCTTTTCCATTTTGGAGAAAATTAGGGAAAGCCCCAAACGTCGCTCATCATAGAGTGTACAAATGGCACACTCAGGCTTTATATATTTTTTAAAAAATTTTATGCAAATGTAGAGACTGGTAAATTCGTCACATTCGCCTTGGTGGCTCAGTGATGACGTGGCGGCTCTTTCCACATTGCATGTAGCGTCGTAGCAGCGTGTGGGGGGGGGGGCGACAAAAAAAAAAAAGTTGTGTAAACGCATTTGAAGCAACTCCTCACTATATACAGGATAAGAAGCATTCCTACTCTTTTCTATCAACTAGGCCATTAGGGTGATTTTTTTTTTTTTTTTGCGCATACTCCCCTTGGCTTCCTGTAGAATGGATGCTTCCCTGAGCAGCCGCAAGAGGGTTGCCGCTACTGGGGTATACATCAAAGTGAAAGAGTTTGTTCCATTATGTCCCATATAACCATATGGGTTGTTCATCGTGAGAGGAGGATTATAAACCGCCAGACCAGCATGAAAATATAACACCCACAGGGTATGCTCTCTTTTGGACTGCCTTTTTTTTTTTTATTCACATGACAATTTGGCCAGTTAAAACGGGGGGGAAGGGATTCCTCCGGTAAAAATATCCCTCACAAAAATGAAAAGGAAGGTACGCAGCTGTAGAAGCAGTACATCCGTTACATGATGGTGAGATAATCACATTATGGCCAGCAGAGTTATGAAACCACCGGTCCATGTAGGAAGCTTACAAAAGGGTGTGACACTTCAATGGGAGGATTCATTTTTTTGGTCAAAGAGAGTAGGATATTCTTGCCACTACGTTTTTTTTTTTTTTTTTACGTTCGTAGCTGTTTTCGATTAGGAACTTTCTTCCCCCAAGTAGGATATATTCCGTTGTTGTCCCGTTAAAACACCATTTGAGGAAGATAAAAAAATGTTGCAGTGTCTTGTGTGGACTTGCCGGAGGGTCGTTCCCCATGGGCACATGCGACTGATTGGAAGCTTCAGGGGGGGAGGAGCAGCATGGACGCGCGTGGGTCATAACGAAGACAACGCAGCGAATACTGCGGAGGGTAGCGCGATAGATCACGTGGCAACTTACCCCGCTGAGCACCCTACTCCCCCCTGCGACAACGACGCCGCTGAAAAAATAACCGAAGAGTACCGGAAAGCGCAACGATTAATCCCACTAAGCGAAAGCGAACTGCAAAAAACAAGAAACATCCTAATCAAAGTTGTAACTACCGAGGACATGAAACGCCAAGTTATGCGCTCGTGTAACGTCCCCAGTTTCTTTCTGCAAGACATTCATGTGAGAAACGATTTTTTGGAACAACTCCGGGGAGACACAGTACATGCGTTCGAGGTGAGGGAGATTTTGCAAAACGAGCAAGAAGAATCCAAAGACGAGAACATTAAAGCAGGAACCATGAAGTACGATAAACTGCTAGCCATTTTCCAACAGTTCATAAAAAAAAATTATTACAAGCAGTGGATTTTTTATGAACATGTCAGGCGAATATGTGACTTTAGCGAGTTGAGCGAACTGGTAAAAAAAAAAAAAAAAAAAAAAAAAGCAAGGAAGCTGTACTTGTACGTTGGACCAACGAACAGTGGAAAGACTTACGAAGCTTTCCAAAGTTTGTGTCAATCAAGGAATGGGTTGTATTGTGCACCTCTAAGAATCCTGGCATGGGAAATCCACAAAAAATTAATTAAACTGAATAAAGTCACCAACTTATTAACAGGCCAAGAATTAATTAAAAAAAAAAATGCAACACACACAGTTTGCACAGTAGAAATGACTCCACTGGATAGACAGTACGACTGTGTTGTGGTCGACGAAATTCAAATGATTAACCATGATACGAGAGGATGTGCCTGGACAAATGTTCTTCTTAACCTCGACTGTGAACAAATATACCTCTGTGGAAGTGACAACATAATCAATTTGGTGAAAAAATTAGCAGACCTTTTAGAAGACCAATTAATTATAAAGCGATTCGAACGATTAACAAAACTGCATGTACAGCAAAATACAGTAGAATGGGAAAAACTCAAGACGGGAGACTGCGTAATTACATTCTCAAGAAATAGCATCATGCTGCTAAAGAATCGACTGGAGAAGCTGAATAAACGCGTTTTTGTAATTTATGGAAGTTTGCCCCCGGAATTGAAGCGCAGGCAGGTGGAGTTCTTTAACCGATACTGCGCTGAGGAGGCAAACATAGGAGAAGTGCACGACACTCACAAAGCAGAAACAGCCGACACCAGTGACAAGAAAAAGGAAACCATTTTAATCGCTACGGATGTTATAGGCATGGGGGTGAACATTAACATAAAAAGAATTATATTTTATTCTTTGCAAAAATTTGATGGAGATAAATTAAGACAGCTATACCCTTCGGAGGTACTACAAATAGCAGGGAGGGCTGGAAGATTTCATCATGGTGTTAAAGAGCCCATAACTGGTTACGTCACTTGCTTTCATTCACATGATTTAAACATTATTAAAAGAATTTTTAGCAGCGAAAAATATGGTGTGCTGGATGGAAAAGTGTTGGAGTATAGCCATTCGGAGTATTCCACTTTTACACATAATTATGATCAGCACGTTGAGTCCTCTAACCTTTTGAGAAGAAACGAGGAGGGGAGATGTTCAGATGGGCAAGGTAGCGGCGCTCACATGGACAGGCCAAATGACACCGCCCGTGATGTAGCACTGTTCGGGGAAACTTCTCCTTCCCTCAAAGGGCACAAAGGGAACATATTAAAGAACGCCCATTTGGTGGATCCCATTTTTCAACAAACAGAAGAAACAAACAACACTTGTACAAAGGCAGGATTTTTTCCTGACTTTAACATGATAAATAATTTGAAAAAAATGCTAGAGCATGAACACAAAGCAAAAGTAGAGCTGCATGAAATTATGACCATACTGGTAGATTACGCAAAGCTTAATGAGCATTATTTTTTCCTAACAAAAAATTACAACCAAATGATAACCATTGCTAAATTTTTAAAAGGCATAAAACTGGACAACGAAACTCTCTTTGTGTATACCCTTGCCCCAATAAATGTAAATGATGTTAATATATTAATTACGTTGAGAACCTTTGCTTTGTGTCATGAGCTGCTAAATTGTGTGGACTTTTTTGAGTGCATAAATGGAGATATTGTACCTGCTGCGGCTACTACAGGGGGGGGGGTTGAGGAGTTAACAGGGGGGCATTGCTGCTACTCGGGTGCCCTCACGGACGGCTTACCTTTCCCAGGAGGCACCCTGGCCATGAAGAGGGGCGTCCCGCATAGCGGCGTCCAGAATAGCGGCAACGCGAATGGCAGCATCGCGAATGGCGACGCCTCCCCTTCAAATCGTAAACAGGGTAAAGAAGAATTATCAAATTGTCGCACCGATGGGGAGATTTCCGCCCACTCGGCGACGGACCAGAGTGCAATTCGCCTTGACTTCCCATTCAGCGTAACTCCATGTAGCGCGTCCCAGGACCATTCCAACCACCCGCACGTGGGGCTAGAGGAATGTCTGAGCCTGCTGGAGATTTACTATGAAGTAATCGACCTGTACTGCTGGTTACACACAAAGTTCCCAAGCATTTATACAAGCATAGATTCAGTAAACGATGAAAAAAAAAAAATCACCAACGCAATTATACAAGTGTTGGCACAGTCGTGCGAGGGGGATGAGGCTGTTTGGTGGGGGAACACCGCTGCAAGGGAAATAATAAACGGGCTGCCCTTCCAAAAGAATCCATGAACGGGGCCAAACTACAAATTAGAGAAGACCACCCCACACGGCTCCGCTGCAAGGGTGTTGTTAAAAAGGGTGTCACACTGCAAAAGACACCCCATGAGAGACACCGCCTCCGCCGCAACGGTGTTCGCTTAAAAATGTCAAATGTGTCTGCTGTAATAAGTAAACTAATTTTTGTTGCGGAGGAGGCTATCATATGTACATGCGCGCTCTCAGCAGATTTATGCCTAGCTAAGCATTCGCATTTGCCTAGCCAAGCGTGTCTCCTTGCACATATTTTTTTTCGTGACGTGTAAGTGAGCAAAAAGTGTACTACTTTTGCTTACCAATTTGTGAGTTGTTATCTCCGCAGTGAACACAAAATCTTCTACACATTTTGCAAATTCAAAACTCGGCCCGTTCCTCGAAAAAGTGCCTTTCGCTCAAAATTGCACCAAATCCCTGCACAGTGTTGTCGTTCTCTCCCCCCGAAGCGCTCATGTAACATTTGCGCTGTCCTCGTTGTTCACACCTTCTGATGGCAAGGGGGGCGGGTTCGTGTCAGGCGCAGACGCGTGCGCTAGCATGTCTTCCGAGAAGCCCATGGGCATTTGCGGCCAACCTGTAAAAAAAGCGCGTCAATTACGCAGTGCAAGCCATATAAGCGGAACAACGTCAGGGAAAAAAAAGAATACATAAAAGACAAACGTGATGAACAAAACAAATGACTGCGGTAGATTGCACGCGTAAAATGCATCACATATATGGGGATCCTCTTCTTACCCGGAAAACTCTGCATGAAAAGTGGGTCCATGGGTAGCTGCTGGCCAGGAGCCATCTGCTGACCACTGGGGAAAGGCACAGCACCACCTTGTACCATACCATTATTCATAAAAGGAAAATTAAAAAAATTGGGTAACATAGGGAGGGGAGCATTTAAAGGAATGTTATTCGCATTTTGATAATTCGATCCTGGTGTATTAAAATTCTTATTGTTAGAATTCTTTTGTGAACTGCTTCTCCCACTTTTCGAGTGAGAGTCGTAAAAGCTGGATGACGCATTTGCATTCATTAGCTCATCTGAAAAGGCATTGGTACTCTTCCCCAAGGGGATAAAATTTGGGTTGTTTTTATTTTTACTATTTATTGGAGGAGGCATAACCCCGTTATTATAATTTTTATTATTCTTACTACCCCTTCCGCCTCTCCCCCCTCGGGTACCTTTTCCGTTTCCGCTGCTTCCTGGGAAAATGGTACTCAGATCTGTAAAATTAGGGCCACTAGGGTTGCTCAACGAATCCATATGCATATCCCCTAATGTGCTGAGGCTGCCTGATGCGGGAGGGAAATCACTAGTACCATTGGCACCCGTACCATACATACCTTCATTTCCATTTTTAATCAAATCCTTAGCAGTGGAGTGATCTCCGCTTTCCTTATCTGGGTTCAGTTCGTTCATCATTCGTTGGTATTCCAAGTCGATTTTTATTTTTTCTGTCCTGGACGTTTGTCCATAAGGCATGACCCCTCTGGGTTTATCATATGGTGGTGGTGGCATGCCGGAGGGAGGTGCGGGAATATTTCCCACTATGCCATTGTTACCGGAGGCACTACCCTTTTCAGGCGAGTGGTCCAAATCAGTGCTCCCATTATTATGCTTAGCTAACTTGCAGTCAAGTGTTATGTGCCCATGGTCCCCACAGAGGTTACATTTAATTTCTGGTTTCTTAAAATTTTGAAGATTCATATTTTCCGGGCACTCGAAAGTCATGTGCGAACTAGAGTTACACATGGAACACCGTTGTACATCTAACTGATTTATGTTAATGCCATTCACAAGTGCCAATTGTTCTAGTCCCTTTTTCTTATACTCATCATGTAGTGGGTGGAACGGATCCAATAATGGGGTAATTAAACTAACGGCCTTCTCAACACATTCTTCACTATCAGCAGATATGTGTACATGCTTAGGCATATTAGCTTCAATTTCTGTTTGGTGGTCTGTTTTTTTCCCTTCTTTAACAGTACCCTTACCACGGATGCTTATTTGTGCACCACTCTCTGCCTCCAACCTCTTATGGTTGCAACCCCTAGGCCCAATAATTAACCCCATGAAATTATATTCAGGATATTTGTCAATTGGTATTTCAATTTTTCTTACTTTTTTAATTGGCTTATAATTTGGAGGGGCTACGAACCCATCTACATGTTTTAACAGATATTCCACCAACCGGTGGTACTCCTCGATCATGCAATTCCTTACTCTTGCTTCTCTTGTATTTATTCTACTTCCATTTTTATCATATATAGGAGGTGGAGATGGTGGTCGAATATCTGGGTCCACATATTCCAACTCTCCTTTATTTAGCTTCTTTGTCAATTCGTCGTATCTCTGTTCACGCAGGAACTGGTCAAGTTGGGATGGAGTTAACCCTGGGGGTAAGTCCACAAAAGGCAGAGGTAAATACGGCTTGGTTTCTTCTGGTCCCCATTTGCTTGGCACTACTTTGTTTTCTACATTGGTCCTTGCTGAGCTGTTTCCCCACCTGGACTTTTTTTTAGAGGTTTCGTCGCTCAGCTTTTCCACAGGGGACAGGTTGGCTAGCGCTACCAGCGGGTCATAGTACATGTTTGTCGGGGGGAGGGGCAAAAAATGGGTCTACAATTGCTGCAGCGGAGTGATATAGGGGGACGTCCTCCCTCTACGAACACAAAAGAGATGCTCCCTTTTTGCTATATGTACTGTTCTGCAACCCACTCCCCCTTGCTCATACGCACTTTGGGTAGATCTTCCCTTTGACAGGATCGCTATACATATAGATACATATATATATATATATATATGTGTGTGCTCCTGCGCGGGAAAGGTATGCCACGTTCACGTGGGTCACTTTTTTGTGTGCGTACGCCCCAGTTGTATGTGCGGTTGGATGGGCCAACGCGTTCGCACGAGTCTTCTCCGTCCAACCGCTCAAACAGGAGGGTCTGCAGCAATCAGGTACATGATCTTGTGAGAACACCCCCTCCCCTACACAACAGTGTTTGCTCGAAAAGGGTATCTTACGATAATGCGAAGTGGCACTTGAGTCTCCCCAACTAAGCTTCTACGTCCATACCATTTCGCTAAACATTATGGTATATATATGTCACACCTGGGCATGCAGGCGCAATGCGGGAAAAGAACGAACAAGAAGCTTTCCCTAAGAGGCAGCGGAGACAGAGGCAATGGCACTCGCAGTGGAAGTGACAAAATTTCTCACCGTCAACGCATAAGAGTTATACAAGTATATGCATACACGAATGCGTACGTTACAAATATATTCTTTGGGGAGGGCCAAAATATGCGCTTAAAAAAAATGGCTAGTACTTTTTTTTTTTTTTTTTTTTGTAGCCTTTGGGCGCAAATTCCTCCTTTTTGCTTAACTTAGCGGTTATTTGGTAATTTAATCACGTTGCCCTGTTTTGTTACTGTGCTATGAATGTACTTATATGCATTATTTGTATTGTATGAATTACGTGATTTTTTTTTTTTTTTTTTTTTT